GGGGGCAGCAGGCCTGGGGGTCTGGCTCAGGAGGGGCTGAAACCGCCAGCCCAAAGCCACTGCCAATCCCGCTCACAGCGACCCTGCCCCCTGCCGGGGCGTCAGAGACTGCCCGGGTCTGTGGGAGCTTCCTGTTCTCCTGCAGAGAGGCCGGTGGATTTGAACAGCGAACCTAGGGCGCTGCCAGGAGGGACCACAACCTAGAAAGCCCCGTGGGGCCGTTCCCCTCTGTGCAACAGACCCCTGAAATCAGAACTGACTCGATGGCCTTCGCTGAGAGGATGAAGGTTCCACCCTGGTCCACGGTGCCACGGACGAAAGGGCTGGCGATCCCTTCCTGTTTGAGATTGGCTGGGTGCTGCCCAGTCGGCTCCAGCTCACAGGGACCTTACGTACCACAGAGAAGACACTGCCTGGTCAGGCCAGCCAGTCCTTTCTCTCTTCTTCTCCCTTCCCCCTTCTCTCTCACCCTTGTGCCCCACATGGGCTAGGCCGGCAACGGGTACCAATGGAACACATCCAAGCTCGGCTTCACCCAGCTCCTAGCCCAGGTGTCCACTCGCCGGCGCCTTTGACTTCCTGTCCTCTAGGCCCTTTCTTCTGAGGGCCACTGACTTCTCCTGCCTCCATGCACCCCACGGCAAAGGACTTGCTCCCAATCCAAAAGTCAAACAGCGTTTGTGTGGGTGTGGTGGCCACCCGTGGGTCTTCCCTTCGAATGCAAACTTTCTGTCCTCTCCACAGCTCAGGAGGGCGGGCATGCCTTTCCACGCACATGTTCTGCCTGGTTTTTAGCCTCCGACTCCCAGGGCGCTCTGCACAGCCTTCCTGCGGAGCAGCTGGTGGGTCAGAACTGCCAACCTTGAGGTTAGCCGCTGAGCGCTTTCACCCCTGTGCCACCAGGGCTGTGATACACACGTCGACTGGACTGAACAGGCTGGACATTGAATGAGGAAGACCGGAGACCCGATGCTGCATTTGAACTGCGGGGCTGGCGTGGACCGCCCAATGAACCAACAGGCCTGTCTTGGAAGAAGTACGGCCAGAAGGCTCCTCAGAGGCAAGGATGGTGAGACGTCACCTGGTCTGGTTTGGTAGGGTTGCTAGGTGTAGGCATCGGCTTGGTCGCAGTGGGTTTACTTTTCAGCTTGGTTGTGGTTGGAAGGGGTGCCAGCCCCCCACCACTAATCACGGGTTCGATAGGCACAATTATACGGTTGATATACATAAAGATGATAGTAAAGTCATCGAGAGCGTGAGAGGTAGAAGAGAGATTGAAGTAATGGAGTCAGACACATTTCATGGTAGCACGCTCACCTCAGCCTCACTTGGTGGTCCACATGGAGAGAGGGGGAGGGGAAAGAGGACAAGGGGAAAGGGAACAGGGGAGGGATGATGGGACAGGAGAGGGGGAGCCGAGGAGAGGTCAAGGGAGGAGCTGAGAGAGAGCTCTTTATTGCGAACCCAGGCCTATATATATTTGGGGGGGAGTGCAAGCCCACTAATTACAGGTAAAGACCTATGTCACAGGAAGGGGTTGCACTATAGGTTATAGAGCAATAAGAGGGGGACAATCTAGAGATATACACGCAATAGGAAGAGGAGGGATTGGAGGCATACATGTGACAAGAAGGGCGGATCCTAGATTCAGGATGGCAGCCTACCTTTGGATGTCACTGAGCCGGTTTGACCTGCTCTCTGGCTCACTGTGGAGATCATTATCAGTAGGATGTAAAACCCACCTACAGGAACCAAGCTAATGGCCGCAAACCTCTTGGAAGAAGTAGCCTATTGTCCTTAACAGAGGGAGCAGGGCCTACCTGTCTGGCAACTGAATGCCTTCAAGGAGGATATTTCTAAGCATCTGACCTCCCCCCATATGCTGGCAAAAAAACCCAAATGTTTGGCATGTCTTTGGAGGAGACAAAGCTGGGGAAAAGTCTCTTTATAATCCCACACTTGGTGTGTAATATGCGATTGATATGATTAGAGGTACAGCCATGTGCTCCTTACGGGCAAGGATGGGGAGACGTCATCTCAGGCCCTCGGGGCATGCTGTCAGGAGACCCCAGTCCCTGGAGCAGGACGTCCTGCTTGGGAGAGCCGAGGGGCCGTGAAAGAGAGGAAGGCTCTCGCTCAAGGAGATGGTTGACAGTGGCTGCAACAATGGGCTTGGGCACAGGGGCAGGTGTGAGGATGGTGCGGACCAACAGGGTCGCCAGGGGTCGGAACCGACTCAATCGGGCCTAATGACCGCTGGTGGAAAGAAACAGCCTGTGACTCATTGGAGCAGGCTCTCATTCCCCTGGCAGCGGGTCCCACCGAGCATCGGCTGAGCGTGGACTCACGTGCTCTGTTAGCACCCAACCCTTTGGTAAGTGGCACAGCTCTGAACAAGGTGCACCCACCCGCAAGCCCTGGTGGCGTCGTGGGTTACATGCTGGGCTGCTAACCACAAGGTCAGCAGTTCGAAACCACCAGCCGCTCCGTAGGAGAAAGATGTGGCTGTCTGTTGGGGCCAGGTCTGAACTTGGCAGCCCCGTTTGGACTACGCCGAAGCAGGTCCAGGCCCTGCACGTGCTTCCCTGCACATCCCAAAGGTCCGCAGCTGCGGCGCCAGAGAAGATAACCAGTGTAGCCAGCTGTTCTGGGTTTGAAGAAAGCCACGAGGAGTCGACAAGAAATTCTCGGAGTTTCCAGACCCCACTTGCTGATTGCCATAATTGCCATCATTCCTCGCCACCCCTTTAAAAACCCTCGCCCCCAGCTGTTGGCCTAGGTCGCAGAACCTCGTACGGGCACACCCCCTACCCCCCTAATGAAGCTCTTTCTGCTTCTGCTCTCCCTTGTCCTGTCAGTTTGTCCGTCTGCCTCCCATAAAGAGTTCCAGTCTTGAGCTGGCATCGACCCGGTGGTGGTGAGAGAGTTTGCTGCACATTTGGAACTTACCTTTGCATGAAGGTAAGGCCAATGGCTCCTTGATTTCAAAGGCCCCAGGAAGGCTCTGAAGGCCCGCGGGGAGGCGCTGGAGGTTGGCACGCCAACCTGCTTGGCACACCCATCCCCAGGGGCCCACGCACAGATTAAACTTTAACGGAGGCGATGGCCACATTACTATTTCTCCTACAACTGTAATTCAGTAACACCGCAGCCTGCTGTCTTATATTTTAAAAGCCTGCTTGATCTTTTACCTTGAGGGCCTGAGCCGGGAGCAGACCCTGGTCCTGCACCCTGGGAGCTCAGACAGCCCAGGCAGCCTGAACTTTGTTCCCTGGACGCCCACCCTCCCACCTGTACCCGCAAGAGCACGGGGACATCCCAGGTGACTGTAGCAGGAGGAGGAGCTTTGCTAAGCACCTCAGGGTGTCTGAGGACAGACCCACTGGTCGCTGGGCACCTGATTTCCCCACCCGACTGGGCCTCGGGCGGAGACGAGGTTCTTGCTGCTCTAGGTTCCTGTCCAGGCTGACCAGGCCCTGCCCGTGGGTGGCAGCAGCCCTGCCGATGGCGTTCACTGAGCTCTTGGGACTAGTGGGGGACAGAGGCCGCTTCCAGACCCTACAGATCATCACCCTCCTCCTCCCCAGTGTCCTGATCCCCTCTCACCTGCTTCTGGAGAACTTCACAGCGGCCAGCCCGGGCCACCGCTGCTGGGCGCCCACACTGGACAACAGCAGCTCCAGGGTGCTCGCCAACCTGTCCCTCGGAGCCCTGCTGAATGTCTCCATCCCGCCCGGCCCCCACGGGGCGCCCCAGAGGTGTCGCCGCTTCCAACGCCCGCAGTGGCAGCTTTTGGACCCCAACGCCCCAGCCGCCAACTGGAGCGAGGCCGCCACGGAGCCGTGCGTGGACGGCTGGGTCTACGACCGCGGTACCTTCACCTCCACCACCGTCACCCAGGTTCGAGCCCCCATCTCCTTCCCAGCCCCAGAACCAGAGCCCAAGACCGAGGAGTCAGGACTGTGGTCCACTCTTAGGGCATTCCTGCTGGTATCTGGGGGTGGGGGTGGAGGGTGGATTGGGTTCCTGTGAATGGGAATCCAGGAACAACCCAAGTGAATTGTCACCTTGTGCTCTGTAAGTGCCACCACGGCCCCAGTCACCATGTCACTGCCGTCGTACAAAGTGGGGGCTGTTCCCACCTCCCTTGTCGCCCCACACCCCCCAACACAGCTAGGGTACGTAACCTGGCCCAGGAGGCACAGAGAAAAGGCAATGCAATTCAACTCGGGTCCTCAACAAGCCTTACTGCTCGGCTACCTGTGTGCCTTGCAGGCAGGCGCGGGTCACACCTGAATTCCCCGGCCTAGGGGTGGAGAGGCAGGCTGAGCTGGGAAGGTGGTGGTGTGGGCAGGTGGGGGAGATGGCCCTGCCAGGACAAAGGTGGAGCCGGAGCGGGCAGAGAGCAGGGAGGGCAGAAGGGCTGGGTTTCCCTCTTTCATGGACCAGGAAGTCCAAGGAGCACTGGGGCCAAGGAGTGGGGTCTGGTTAGCATTCCAAGGGGTCCCCTTGTTGGTTGAGCACGTTCTGTAGGGGCCAGAGGGGATGCAGGGGATGGTGGTGGAAGGTGGTGGTGATGGGAGTGGTGGTGGGAGTTGTGTCAGGGGTCTGAAGCCAGGCCTAGGGACCAAGGCAGTTGTGAGCAGAGCCTCTGGGCCCTCTCTGTTCACAGCCCGGTGGAAGGAGCCCCCACCTCAAGGACCCCACATTCTGGATAAAACTTGGGTTCATAAGACTCAGCCGGGTCCACCCACCTAGCCATCAGCAGGGCTCAAATCCAAGCTTGTGGCTTACCCACTGCTGACCACTACCCTGCACTGCCCAGCACCATGCTGAAATGACCATCACTGCCCTTTAATGGCCACCACCCTCCACTTCCCACCACCATACCCAAGTGAGACCATTACTGTCCCCCACTGTCCCCCACTGCCCTACATCATGCTCAAATGACCTTTACTGCCCCCATTGCTGATCTCTACCCTGCACGGACCAACAAAAGCCACTACCCTCTCCCCCAGCATGCACAAATGACCCTTACTGCCCATCCCCACTGCTTCCAATGACCTTTTCCAGACCCCACTGCCCCCTACCACCCCCACTTCACCACACTGGCCACAACCTCCCACCCAACACCCACTGTCCAGCTTTCTTCACAAAGAATTTCGTTCTCGGCTCTTGCTGCTCCAGTGCCCTGCCCTTGCATTAATGCAGGCTCCACCGTGACAGGCAGGGTGGCCAAAGACCCCGTGCCCTGCTGAGGCCCAGCTCTAGGAATCTGGGGCACTGCTGGCAGGGGCCAGGCACCCAGGACCTAGGCTGACCAGGTGCTCCTGGCTGGATCGCCTGCATCTGCCACCCTGAGCCGGGCACTCACCTCTCCCACAGTGGAACCTGGTGTGCCAGTTCGAACACCTGAAGCCCCTTGGCCAGTCCGTCTACATGGCCGGGATTCTGCTGGGATCCACTGTGTGGGGCCTCCTCTCCGACAGGTGAGTGTCCCCGCAGGTGCATGCAGGTGCCTTGGGAGTCAGCTCAGCCATGCGGCCAGCACCTGCTGTGCTTAGGGCTCCGCTGAGGTGACGCTCGGCACTCAGTGTCTGTCCTACAGGGTCCACCGCCCTTTAATGAGTACGTACTGCGCACTACGGTCCTGATGGCCACATCTCTGCCGGGGGCAGCTGCTGGGCTCACAGGGGCCACGGCTAACCAGGGCTGCTTCCCATAAAGATCTCAGGCTAGGAAGCCCAGTGAGCAGTGCTACTCTGTCCTGTGGGGTCACAGCACCTGTCAGGGCCCACCAGCATCCCTTCTGCTCCATCTGGGGGTCTAGGATGGGAAATCACTATTGATTTCTCAGACCCTCATACAACCCAGACTCCCCCTGCCACCCAGGCCCCCACGGCAGCTCCCAAATCTCCCAGACCTTAGACCCTCTCCTCCCACTCAAACCCTCCCTTACCTCAAGTTCTCCCTGCCACCCAGACCAATTAGTACAGACTTAGTGGATGGATGATGGATGGATGGATGGATGGATGGATGGATGGATGGATAGATGGATGGATGGTTGGTTGGACGGACTGACTGACTGAAGCACGCACAGACGAATCACAACCTCCAGAAGCCCAGCACCTCCATTCCCTCAGGTCAGCGGGCCCCTGACACCTGCCCCGGAGGTTGTGGCAAATCAAAGTCCTTAATCTGCACTCGGCCTGCCATACCTCCTGCCGTCGGACCCACTGATGGGTTCAAACCACTGACCTTCTGGTGAGCAAGGAGCCCTGGTGGCACTGTGGGTTAGGCATGGGACGGCTAACCCCCAAGGTCAGTGGTTCAAACTCACCAGGTGCCTCTCAGGAGAAAGTGCATCAAGACTGACAACCTTGAAACACACACCCCCACACACAGGAAGTTTTCTGTCCTACAGGGGTCACTATGAGTCGCCATTGATTCGAAGGCAGTGGGGTCCAGCCAGCAGCCCAGCGTGTCACGGTCTCAACACCAGGGCTCAGGGCAGGCACTGCAGCTGCACCGAGTGCCACACAGGGCTCCAGGGTCAAGCGGGCACTGCTGGTCACTGCCCACGCCTGGTCTGAAGTCCTTGACCCCCTGATGACAACAAGGCATGGCGGCCCTCCCCCTCCACATCACAGCGCAGACACCTGCCCAAGGGCAGCCAGGAAGGGCAGGGCTGCAGCGGGCAGGGAAGGGTCAGCGGTGTCTGATACGAAAGCCCATGGCGGTGACCATGAGGCTCAGCTGCTTGGGAGAGCGAGGCCCACCGTGCTTTGGGACCACCGCCCCCTCGCGTGGGCCCCACCGGGCTGTGTCCCGCGCAGGTTCGGGCGCAAGCTGCCGCTGAGCTGGTGCTGCCTGCAGATGGCCCTGAGCAGCACCAGCGCCATCTTCGCCCCGAGCTTCCTTGTCTACTGCGGCCTGCGCTTCCTGGACGCCTTCGCGCTGGCCGGCGTCATCATGACCTCAACCACACTCAGTGAGTGAATGGCCCCGAGCACGCACGCGGACGGGGGGTGGGGGGG